TTTGACAAAGCTAGAGCCGGTATAATCTCGCCAAGCCTTCAGCCTTTCCCCTCGCTGTTTGGATGTGCACACACCCTGTGGTACTTGTTGAGTCAAGTATGTTTGTCTCTTCTTTCTACATCGAGTCTCTTCTGTCCAGATGATGGGACTCTGTGGATGAAGGATATGGCCTTGTTGACCAAACCCACACGGGCTGAGTAGGGCTAAAGATTGTGTCTGATGACTTGACTGTCCTGGAGGACACGAACCCTCCCAAGGACTGGTAAACTGACCGGTGGGCTGCTCGGTGTGGCACGGTAGGCCCAAAATCTGAGTTGTGGGCTGCACAATAGGCCGTCTAAGTTTTGAGAGGACTTGCTGATCGCGTCGTCGTTTCTGCAACGTTAAAGAAATCCTAAGGAGTTACAGGGGATCTCCTTAAATGCCTCCTGATCAGCAACAGGTCCTGTAGTGACAGCTCTAGTTTAGGTCGAGGCTAGTGACCCTAGTTGACATGATCCTGTCCGGGTGATGTGGTCCATAGATTGAGTCAGTAGGTCGTGTCAGTCAGGGGGTAGAGTCTAACTGGTGAGGAGTGGAACTGTTGTCCGGTTGTGCACCTGACACCATGGTTGACACACGTAGTGGTAAGAGTACTGCCCCACAGTCAGAAGCTGAACAGGAACGGATCGGGGCCATCCTGAGAGAGAGAAGGGAGAAGAAGGAGAAGAAGGAGCTCCTCAAACAGGCGAAGTTGAAGGCGATAACTGAGGAGCAGGCGGCGAAGAAGAAGTTGGAGGAGGAGATGATGAGATTACAACAGGAGGAGGAAGAGAAAAAGAGGGCTGCCGAAACAGCAGCAGCAGCAGAGAAGGAAGAATTAGAAGAGGAACCCCTCGAAAGGAGGCGTAGGGGAGAAAGAGGAGAAAGCAGTGGCATGAGGAAAGAGGATGCGTGGGTGGAGAAGAACATCAGTGAATGGGATGCTAATTTATCGTTGGGAGAAGATGAGGAGGCAATGTTGTATGTGCCTCAGGAGGAAAAAGAAGTCGTAGCCAGGGAGTTGGAAGCCATGGAAGATCGTCTTTGCCATTTCTCGTCACCACGGACGCGAGTCGGTATGGAATAGGCGTCGTGTTTCAGCAAGACGACGGCAATGGCTACAGACCCGTAGAGTTTATGTCAGCGAGGATGCCCTCAGAGAAGGTTGCTACCTCGACGTACGAAAGGGAACTCTACGCTCTCAAGCACGCTTTAGAGCACTGGATGCGTTACCTGCTTGCGAGGCTTTTCAAGGTGTACTCCGACCATGAGACTCTTAGATGAAGACACAGGCCAAGATGACACCTAAGTTGACTAGGTGGGCCGCTGGGATAGACCAGTATGACTTTGCGCTCAAGCCAGTGAAGGGCAAGTACAACGTAGTTGCGGATGCTCTGAGTAGGAGATCAGACTACTTTGGAGCCATAGTTCACTATCTAGACATAGGGAGTGACCTGCAAGAGAAAGTTAGACAAGCGTATGCACAGGAGCCTATCTATAGTGACCTCCTCAAGAGAGTCAAGGAGGCCCTAGAGACTGAGCCAGGTTACCGCACTACAAAGGGTTTGTTATTCGAGAAGACTAATGTAGTAGACCGCCTGTGCATTCCCAACAGTGAGGAGATCCGTAGTCTAATCCTAGGGGAATGCCATGATACAGAGGGACACTTCGGTTGGCAAAAGACTTTGGCCAATCTGATGCACGCGTACACATGGCCAGGAATGAAGAACGACTGCATAGAGTATGTCCGCAGTTGTAAGGTCTGTCAGAGGAACAAGACCACTACGCGTGTCTTCTCAAACCCTTGCCTATTCCAGACCAGCCTGGAGACTCAGTCTTCATTGACTTTATGGATGCCGGTGTCAAGAGTAGGCACGGCAAGAGCCAAGTCATGGTTGTAGTTGACAGATTTAGCAAGTATGTTATTTTTGTTCCTTTGCCTGCAGAGGCACGCACAGAGTTAGTGATCCAAAAGTTTTTCGATTTTTGGGTTAGTGAACATGGAGGCCTGTTGTCCATAGTTAGCGATAGAGATAGTCGCTTCACCAGCCAGAACTGGCAGGAGCTTATGAGAGCCTATGGGTCAAAGCTGCTGATGTCATCTGGCCGCCATCCAGAGACTAACGGTCAGACGGAGCAGATGAACAGGATGCTGCAGCAAGTTCTGCGCATGTACATTAGACCCGATCAGATCAACTGGGACGAGATGTTACCCAAGGTAGCCAGTGCATACAATAACAGCGTGCATTTGTCCACCTGTCGCACTCCCAACGAGTTGCACAAGTCCTTTAGACCGCGCAGACCGTTTGAAGGATTGAACCGGGATCAGATCCACTGGCTACCGCCCAATACCAGGGAGTTCGCAATACAGCATGAGCAATTGAAAACCTCAGGAAGGCCCAGCACCGTATGATAGAACAGGCTAATAAGCATCGTCGCCCATCGCAGTTTCAGGTGGGCGACCTGGTCTGGGTCAAGTCTAAAGAGTTTGCACCTGAGGAGAACATCTCGCAGAAGTTACTGCCCTCGTATAGAGGACCGTGGCCGGTTCTAGAAGTTAAGGGCGGAGAGGATGGGCCGTCCTACACCATAGAGATCCCAGCACACCTCCACACCTACCCTGTGTTTCACGCATCAAAGTTGCTGTCGTGTGTCACCAGTCAACAATTTCCCTCTCGACGGTCCATGATCCCTCCAGACATGGACGGAAGATATGACATTGACGGCATTGTAGGTGAAGATGTGTTCAGAACAGGAGGTAGAGGTCGTCCGCAGAAACAGTATAAGGTCCGGTTTGCTTATCAGGAGCCGGAAGACGACCGCTGGTTCACAAAAACAGAACTTGTAGAGGCAGCTCCCGATATAGTTAGAGCCTATGAGAGAGATAGGAAAGGAAAAGGTCCTGCTTTGGACTGAGTTATTCTCGGAGGACCTCGAATTTTGGCCGGCGGGAGTGAAACGGTATTCACCAATTCGCAGTAGCTGATGCAGATCCCAGGGCTCGATCCCTAGTTCCCACCTTACCTGTGTACAGTATCTGTGTCGGCCCTTAGAGTTGAACCCGTGACCTGTGTATTCGTAACAGTGGTAGACTGTCGTAGGGTCCTGAGGTCGCAGGGGTTTGATCTGTAGACCTGTCGAATAGGAGTCTTAGTCAGGTCTAGAAGTCGTAGCTGTAGCTTTCCCGAAAGGTCAAGGTCGTAGCTGCTACAGTCCAGAAGGGTCAGAGTCGTAGCTGCTACAGTCCATAAGGGTCAGAGTCGTAGCTGCTACAGTCATGAAAGGCCAAGTCTAAGGCCTTCCGGAAGGTCCCAGTAGTGGCCTTTCGAAGCTGCCCACGTTTAGACTGAGGCAAGTGGGCAAGTGGCGAGGCAAGTGGGCAAGTGGTAGAAGTCTGCCGTGCTGAGTCAACAGTCCCAGTCCCCAGTCAGTCCTTGTCCAGTCAAGCAAGTACCGCATAGGACTGTGTGCACTTCGGGCCTGGGAAAGGGCCAGACCAACGAGCTGCAGAAGTATAAATCAAGAGGCAGCGCCCAGCCATTCATTCATTCCTGCGTGAGCCATGCGGAAGCGCTGCCACAGCGACTTGTGCGAAGTGGTCTGCAGGTCTGCAGTGAAGCCCGAAGACGAAGTGGGCAGAGAGACGAAGCTTAGCCATAGCGATAGGGTAGCAGAGGCCAGAAGCCGCCATAGCTGTAGTTAGTGTTCAGTGTGTGTGTGTGTGAGTGTTCAAAGAGACGCGTGTGGGATATCCAGGGTGGTCCACTATATGCGAACAGAGAGTTGTATGGGTGCTATATCGCCATAGCCATTGGAAGTGAACTCGTATCTGGGTTGCCATATCTCAGAGTACTGAGTGGGCGCATGTCGCCAGTTTGCTGCGCTACTGTTTGCATGCATGTAAAGTGTGAATGAAAGCGAGTCTCATTGCAATTGCTCTTATTCGCTTGTATCTCGGTGCAACCTGCTTTCTGCTTGGGACACGACTATCCGGTCTTCAATGCAATGTTGCAATTTGGTTTTCTGTCGGTGGCTCTCACTCAATTTCCTTGCACAGCTCACATAGTGCTGAATCTACCGTGCGTTCGTTATGGTCCCTATCCATTCAAAGTTTTAGCTGGGCGGGGTCTCCCTGCACCCCACTGTTCACCAAACTCGCGAGGACCTCCCTACAATAGACAACATGTGAAATGTCTCTGGTTTGTACTTCATGCAAAATACATTAGGAATGTTGTGTCCTGGATAGAGCCCCTTGAATTCCCGAAATACACCCAAAAGGGCCAAAGCGACAAAAAAAACAACAACGGCAAAGGAAAAAAGAAGCCCACCTGACATATATGCAACCAGGCTGTTAAGCCCCATGTCTGCGAGGTTGAACTCGTCACTTTTCATTCGGCATAATTCTTTTTGCTTTTCCTTTTTTTTAAACGTTGTCATTCATCTGCCAGTCCAAGAAGCACGGGCAACCAACAGGGCTAGCTTAGTTGGTACACCACGAACTGTTGAAATACACACACCCCAGTTCGACTCCAGCTGCAACCAGATGACCAGAATAATATCATTCTGGATTACCTGGGGCTGGTCAGTTCAATGATAATATCTGCAGGCCGGTGCATTCTTTGGGAAAAAAAAGGGAAAAAAAAAAGAAACATCAGCCTCCGATTGCATCGACGTTTCCGCAACGTAGCAAGACAACCAGCTGTACGCACCGAGGGTACTGGTAGGCTTGGTAGTTGGGCAAAAAAAGGTTTGGAAGGTTGCTGCAGAGGGCACTGGTGGTTTAAAGCCCATCATGGAACCCCTGCCCTTCAGAACCCTTGCACGTGCCATTTTGATCAGGGGAAGGTGTCAGATGCAAAGACCATTTAAGCAGACTCATCATTCTCCGAAATCAGGGTAAGGGACCCACGGAGGGGGATGGGGGGTTTAGGGGGCGAGCAAGGGTGTTCCTGTAAGGAAAGAGCTACTCTGGCACTCACCAATGTGGCGCATTCCTCTGCAAGAGCTGGGCCAGCTGCCTCATGCAGACCAGGAGAGCTGTGTGCAACATCAAGGCTCTGCACCGGTACGGAACAACCGCAGACGACATGGACATTTTGCATCACAGCACAGGGAAAAGAAAAACAAGTTGGATTCAAGGGAATCAACCACCGCACAGAGAGCCATGGCACAGGATTTTAAATATATATCGTCACAAACAGAACTGCCCGGTAAACCGTAGGCAGTTCACATAACTATGAACCAAAAGAGCGCAATTTGCGAAATAAACGGCAAAAAAAAAAAAAAAAAAAAAAAAAAACAGACAAAAATGAAGGGCACAGT